TCCAAGATACAAATGAAGTGCCAGCAAGAACCTTAAATTATGGTTGACGTACAGTACGGTCCATTTGCCAACACATGTCCTGATCGAATTAGAGGTATTGATCCATCGAGAAATCTAATTTGTTCGAAAACTGTGTGAACGTTCTACAGTCATATATTCCTTTCGTGTGTGATTTGGAGAAACTCTTTATCTAATCAGCCCACATATTATTTCGGCCGAAGACTCCATTGAATAAATCGTGAAAGAACACACAGGACATCCATGCATTTAAGCAAGCGGTCAAATCCCTAAATACAATGCACAGACTCCCACTAGATTTCCGACTGTGCGAACATTGGCCCTTGAAGCGGTCTTCAATGAGACTCAAGGACAATTCACAACACAATTGGTCCTATAGTAAAGTCGAAGTGATGTATTAGGTCCTAAGGACTAATGGTATACAACTATAATTGTAGAACCTCTACTCGATAAATGGGAACCACTTAGAGATTCTAGGACGAGGGAGGTCAATGAACTCATCTACTATGAGCACACACCCAAGTATGCCGACGTCTCTACACCGTAGCTGATGAGATGCAACTCACATACACTAAGTTCTAGTCTCGAAAGGGAAAGGCCACCATCCTACTTTGGTGTAACTCGTCGACTAGGAACTAGTTTAATAGTTACAATACTAAATGAATTATCATATGATTCTCCTAGATCAATTCATAGCATATTAGAGTAACTACGCTCTTATAGGGACAAAAGTTATAACTTGCCAAAGATAGAGTTTTTCACTAATACGAAATAGATTGTGTTATATAAGTAAGAGAAAAAACACAACCAAAAGTTGGCTTGCAGGTCACATACTCTAACATATTTATCGGTGGTGGTTGGTAACTAGATGGAGCATAGTAACTTTTATTTCTCTCATAGTGTGAATTCTGAGTAGGATAACTTTTTCCTTTAGGTTTAAGATGAGCATAATTCTTCCTAGAGCCATTATGTGCAGAAACTAAATGTACCTTGTCATGATGACTACCTTTGTCTTGTTTCCTTGATTCACAGTTTCGCCATGAGATTGACAAACTTCAACTCACTTTATTTGTGGAGCAACTTCTTTTGGAACTCTTTCCACGCTTCTGATAGCTTTTTGGTAATGGCAAGAACTTGGATTTGTTCGCCGATCTTGATACTCACTGTCTCGATTTTATGTACGATCATTTGGAGATCAAGGATTTGATTGAGCACGGACTTCTCCTCCACTATCCAGAAGTTGAAATAGCGGTTACATGTATAATTCCTCGTTCCAGCTTCGTCGGAGCGATAATTCTTCTCCAAGGCCGCCCAGATCTTCCTCGCGAATCAATAAGAATTGGAGCATAAATCATATAACTCATTGGAGAGACAATTGAGTATGTTATTCCTACAATCTTCCTCATCAGTAACCCATTTTTTGAGAAACATTTCATGATCAAGTTTTTGTTGTTCGTCGTATGCAGAGGTGTTGACGTTGTTGGGATTATCATGAGTAATAATATATGCCACCTTCGTGAGCTTCAAGTAGAACAGGACCTTCTTAGTCCATCGTTGGAAGAATTGGCCATTGAAACGGAGTGATTGATTCTTGTTAGTTCCAGTGGGGACGGCGGAAGTAACAACAGTAGCAGGACTCTCCATTAGAATAGAAAATTGGTCTTAAATTGTTGGGAATCTGCTGGTGGAAATCATCAAGAAATCGTAGGATAGGCAAGATGAGGTGTATACTTGGTCTCTCTTAAGACAAATTTCATGATCCGTTCTCAAAGAGGTGAAGAAAGGTCTCAATCGTATCACATATGGGATACACGAACCTATCTCTTTGTTGTAGCTTCAGTGGAACCTGCACTATTGTTAAGTGTATTTTTTTACACTTAATTATATCTTTTAATTGGAGTTTTTGGTGTATTTTATTGATAATTGGTGCTTAAAATTTTGATTTATTGTGTTTCAGGCACAAATTAACGAATTGAATAAATTGAGGGTCAAAATTGCAACTTAGAAGAAAAGGTGGAATAAATTGGAGAAGTCAACGCCACTAGACCGATCAAGATTTCGGCCAGTCGTCCGAGAAATAAACTAGGAATCCGGACAGACGTACGAGTCAAGAAAGATGAAGCACATTTCACGTCATTTCGGACGTCCGTCCGAAATGTAGGGAAAATCGCTAGACGGTCATCTGAGAAGGCGAGATTGCACAGTAAGGAATTTCCAATTGTACAAGTAAACTGTCTTTTCGTCAATTCTTCCCACCTTATAAAAGGCCATCTCAAGCACAAAACCAATGGTCCTCTTTTTACGCAATTTTGAGAGCAAAATAAGCAATAGCGAAGACGAAAAAATTGATGATTCAAGCATAGTTTTTGTCTTTCATGAATATTTTTATTTAGTTTTTAATTTAATCAGGAGTAGCTAAACTCTTTATTTTTAGGATTTTATTTTGAACCCTATGTGGGATTTATGAACCATTTTCTATGATTTTATACAAGTTTTAATTCCGGATTATTTCTTCTAGTTATTTTATTAAGTGCATGAAACCGGCCACTTTATGTGCTTTATTGTTATTGTTGAATGCATTAATCGGAAGATGGTTTAATAATTAGAAATGCGGTAGAGGAGCATTTGTTGTATTAACATAGAAATATAGTTAATCTCTTACGTAGCCATTACTGAGATTTGTGCTTCATGTTGTGTTCTACATTAAATTGCGTAGGAATACAGTAATTCAATCTAAAATATTAGAATCGTAATACACGCGGAAGCGGGGTATGATTAGTTTAGCATCTTAGGTTAGTACTCCGAGTTAATTACTTGCATAATTGAAGGAATTGGGGAATTAATAATCATAAAAGGGAAGATAAAATCCTAGACTTGTTTAATCTAATATCTTTTCTATTTATTCTCTTTTTTGCTCCTGCTTGCTTAATCTGCTTTAATTTAATTTAGTTTAATTTAGAATAATCAATCAACGTACATTTGACTGTGTATGGTGGGCTTGATAACAATTGGTGGAATTTAGCGATTATAATTAGATAATTTAATATTCTCTGTGGGATTGATATCTGGACTTTTGTCCACTATATTAGTTGTTCGATACGTGCACTTATGTGTAGGTAAAATCACCAGCAACTATCAATTGAAGCGGAAGCTTGCACCCGACACTTACAAAATCTCACAAATGTACAAATGATTTTGGATAGAGAAATAGATTTTTTTGTTGCAGGAGTAAAGGAAAATGATGCATAACTGCCTTCTTTTATTGGTCAAAAGAGATGGTGTTACCATTTGATTAAATATGAAAATTCATTTGAACTTATGTTCTTTGACTCTTGAAATTTATATTTGTAAAGAGCTAATTTTGTAACATTCAAAATCGTCTGGATGATTAAAAAAGAAAATCAATTTCAGTCAAAAACGGAAGAGGAAATTAGGACTAATTTTGTAACACCTTCCTTTTATTATTCACAAATAAACTATAAACCCCCCCTAACCCATGCATGAGTTGGTTCCCTTTTCTTTTCCTTTCTTATTCAAACATTAGTTGGATCCGAATCAGATCTAAATGGAAATATTTGAAAAGCAATGTGGGATAAACTAATTTTATAAAATACTCCAACAACATTTTAGAGTTGGATAGAATTTTCCATAGATAAGTTGAGCTTGAATTTATTTCTTGCTTAAATAATGTGGAAACCTTGGGAGTGCAGAAACAAGTCATTACATGGTGACCTAGTTTCTGGACGGTTGAGCTTACCCTTTGGAGCATGTCATTTCAACATTTTTTTTGTCAATCTCTTTTACCGAAGTCAACGTGATTTACTCAAACTCACCCTACTACGTGGTCTCCACCTAATCCATGTACGATTAAGGTAAATTTTGATGTGGGTTTCCCTACCGAGCGATAACTTAATCGGACAGCCATGGTGGTTTGAGGGTCTAATGGCAAGTGTTTGTGGTGGAGTGTCAGAAAATTTTCAGGTAATCCAAGGTCGGTGGAAGGGAGGCACATGCAGCCCTCTTTGCAATGAAAGAATGAAAGTGGCAATGGTGAAAGGTTTGAGCTAGGTTATTTTTTTAAGGAGATTGCCTCCAAGTGATTAATGCTTTGGGAGTGAGAGGTGACTCGAATTCCTCGTTTGGAGCATATATCGAAGAATGTATGAATTTGTTGCTTTTTTTTTTCCTTTATGTTGTTTTTTGATTTATCAAATGTCAAGGCAATATCCTTGCTCATTCTTTAGCTCATTTGGGTTATGCGGATTTGGTTGAAGGGGTTTCCCTCCGGCTAGATTCGGTTGTTTACCTTTAATAATCATTTTTTTCTGTCAAAGGAAAAACATCGCTACGTGTTCGTGCAATCCAAACCAATATATAGAATATACAAGTTGTAGCTTTATTTCTAGGATTTTCAGTGCAACCTGAATCGAACTAAGAGTAGTTGTTGATTGAAAAATTCAAAAAAATAAAATAAAAAATTAATCGATTTGAGCCGAAGCCCCAAACCCCGCCAAGAATAAAAAGGGAAAAATGCCCAAAATACCATAATAAAAGACGGGAAATTCTATGCTACACCCGGTGAATACAACCAGGCACCCTAATTAATAAGATTCCCACTACGGGTTCAGTTAAGGCCCAATGGGTTTTAGAAATATAATTATAAAATAAATAAAAACGACACATGTCAAGAAAATAGCTACCCGGTGAAAATCACCGGGTGTAGCATCGTATTCCCAATAAAAGACAAAGCAAATGAAAGGGTATAGACCAATCAGTTACAGAAAACATGCCACGTAAGCTGTATCTAAAACCACATATCCATTCATTCCCTCTAAATTACTCCCCTCTTCTCCTCAAAACCCCATCACTTGAGTAAAGCTGCTGATATTTTCCAGGTATGTATGTTCTTTTGATTTATACTTTTCACAATGGTGTTAATCTTTGTTCACTCCGATAAATTAATCAATTGGGTTCGCATAATTGTTGGCAGTAATTGATTTGTATTAGAAAATTTTCGCATTTTTTTTATTGGCCGATGAATGAATATTATTCCTCTTAACTTACTGAACCTACTACGTGTTTGATATAATGCCTCAGAGAAGAAGAAAAACATGGCGGCTTCATCAGCATGCATGTGTAGTGGTGGTGGTGAATTGCCTGAGCACTGAATTAAATCCGAAGAAAATAATTAATTCTCCAGCTATTATTACGAAATATTTTCCTGCATTAAATTTGTATTTGCTGTCAATGTAATAACCTTAAACAAAACTTATAATACCGGACCAGTCCTTCAAATATGAGGACAATGGCTGCACTGTTATCAGTACAAGCCCATGTGTTCAACCCCATGTCATCAATTCATACCCACTCTTCTAAACCCTCTGCTCCATCCCATTCCTCTCTCTCCCAGGTATGTATGTATGTATACATCAAGATTCTTGGAATTTAAATATCGTCGAATCGAGATGATTTCTTTTTAATTGCATTGTAATTTTACGCTATCGTCGTCACAGAATCCCGTTTCGGACAGGTCCCCATTTTTCAGAGGTCAATTTCACAGTAGACACTTTATTAGATTTGCTCAGACTCGTCGGCCCTCGAAGAATCGTGCTGGTAATTCTTGTCTAATTCTTGTCGGGCATTATTTTTACTTAGGGTAAATTACAAATACCCCTCAATTATGAATCTTCTTACATGTCCACCCTTATGGTGTCAAATTCAACAGATCTAGATTATGTGGAATGTTCTCTAGTTTGTACTCGTTTTGTGCAAAAATGCAGTTTTTGATGCACCACAATCTGATATTTATAAGCCAAGAGACACATCTTATGATCATCTTGTTTCAAAATGTGGAGTTCGTATGCGATAAAACGGGACAAACTGGAGAATATTCTACATAATTAGAAGATTCCACTAAATTCGACACCATAGGCGTGCACGTGTAAGAAGATTCATAGTTGGGGTGGGTGGTTGTAATTACCCAACATAGGGGTTTTTTCGTAATTTGACATTACCTCGTGGGGTGCCCGTAATTTACCCTTTTTGTTTGTTATTGTTTTTCATTTGGATAAATAAAACGTGGGAAATGGTGTATGATGATTGAAGGGTTTGTTGTATTTTCGCCGAGATGCGTGATGCCGCTAACCGAGGAGAATGTCGAGAAGGTGTTGGATTTAGTGAGGCCGGGTCTAATGGCTGATGGAGGGAATGTTGTTCTTCACGAGATCGATGGTCTTGTCGTAATACTTAAGCTCCAAGGTGCTTGTGGCTCGTGCCCGAGTTCTACCATGACTCTCAAAATGGGGATCGAAACTCGTCTTCGCGATAAAATTCCCGAAATTGAATCGGTGGAACAAATCCTCGACACCGAAACCGGCCTCGAATTGAATGAAGAGAACGTTGAGAAGGTATTGCAAAACAAATTAGTTTATGTCGATGCATGTATTTTGTCGTATGAATATGTTAGAATTGTGATTATAAATGTTTGTCGCCTTCGCAAAACAGTACAAGGAAGCACGAGTAATGTGGGATTAATTTTATTGAATTGCAGATTCTATCGGAGATTAGACCGTACCTTGCGGGGACAGGTGGCGGAGAACTGGAGCTGGTTAAAATCGAAGACTATGTCGTGAAAGTACGACTTAGTGGACCTGCGGCCGGAGTTATGACGGTGCGCGTAGCTCTCACTCAAAAATTGAGAGAGAAAATACCAGTCATTGCAGCTGTTCAATTGATTGAGTGAAGTCTTTTGTATCATAATTATAGTAAATTCAACATATATTTTTATTTTTATTTTTTTTGTTAAGAAACTTTGTAGATGAGTTAAGTGAGATCAACAGAAGGTAATTTTTCCTGTATTATGCTTTAGTCCACCTGCATATTCTACGTGGACTTCCATAGAAGGTTAATTAAATAAATAATTAAAAAAAAAAATCAGAAGAGTAAATAATAAAAGTAAAATATTAAATTATTCATTTGGTGTCTTGTAGGGGTTGGAAAAAATTTCAATTACGATATACCACGGTATATATACCAACTGAAAATTACCGAAAATATTCTAAAAGAATGGTTACCATTGCATTCGGTACAGTATTAGTTATGTAACACGATCATGCGGAACCTCAACGGTATCAAATTTCTAATACGACAATAATATTATATCGTATCTCAAATTATATTTTATAATTTAATTATTTTTTTATTTGTGGATAGTTAATAAATAAATAGGAGGCGATCTTGGCATATCTTTTATGTATTGCGAACGAGTGGGATAACGATATGTGAGTTGTTTCGAAGCTTGAAATTGAGTCGACACGGAATTGGTTGAACCATTTCAGGCTCCTATTTGATAGGGTGGTGCAAAATATCTTGCAATAAGTTCATCACTCATAGCATAGAGATCAACAGTAGTACTATAGAATTTTTCTATGTGTTCGCGTGGGTCGCTGGTTTCGTCGAACTGTGGGAGATTCGTGATCTCTACTCCATGGCAAGGATGTTGGCAGTGAATGGACTATACTTGTCGGGTAAACGCATGTGCTTCCAATATCTACAGTAGGAGATACGATCGGAAGTGACGGTCGAGCATCAGAGTTTCTCATTACTTGGTTGTCTATTTCTATCGTCATGGTGAGAGGCTCGACTATCGGCATTTTTGTGTGATCCCGCTCTTTGACGATGTTGGTTGCTATGTCTTTGTGCAGTACCTCCACGAAGCGTTGTACGTATTGTCTCCTCACTATGACAAATTTCATTTTAGGTGATTTTTTTATTTGCGACGAAATGAATTTGTCGGTAAAATTGCGACGTTGCAGACACACAATCCTCACAATAAAGTATAATTATATGTAAATTTAAAATTTTGAGTAAATATTGTAACGAATCAATATTTTGTCGCAACGATCATCGCAAAATTAAGCGCGGTTTTTTCCCTCAAGATGTTGTAACGAATATATTATTTAAGTCGCCAAATGCGACTTTATTTATTATTTATATCTTTGTGAAAAAATTAAATTATGCATACTAATTTTAATAAATTACAGTTGCGACGAAAATGTTGAAACACGTTGCAATAGCATGGGTAAAAGTGCGACGATACTGTTAAAACGTCGCAATAGTAAAGGTAGGCTTGTGACGATATGGGTAAGCATTACTCGGTTTTTCTTTTACGAATATTTGCTTAGATTCCGTATAAAACGTCGCAATTCGGTCTTGGCGTATTATTTTATTTATAGCAATCTAGTGAGAGAATCGATATGTGAGTTGTTCGAAGCTTGCAATTAAGTCAACTCGAAATTGGTTGAACCATTTCAACGTCTCATGGCGTGGGACTTGGTTTGTTCCATAGCATCCTTCATCTCTTTTATGAGGAGGTTGTGTTCGTTGTGGTTGTCTGGAGTTCTCACCATGATATCCTTCGATTTGTGAATGTTGCGGGGGAAGCCTCAGAGATATGGGGTACCCGTCTACGGTTGAACTTGAAGACCTACTTCCTCGACGACTTTGAGGTGGAGGAGGCAAGGCCGGTCCGGTGTATTTGGGGGGCCCGGGCAAAATGATACGCGTAAAACCTACGTATGAAAAACCACAAGTGTACAATATCGCGTTTTGTAGAATAGTGAATTCCAGATATCGATCCACAGGGAATTAAGTTCCTAAATTTACCAAGTACCGTAATTATACTATCCTAAACTTTATCTAGACGATCAAGAATGGATGGGAGTTCTCACCATGATATCCTTCGATTTGTGAACGTTGCGGGGGAAGCCTCCGAGATATGAAGTACCGGTCTACGGTTGAACTTGAAGACCTACTTCCTTGACGACTTTGAGGTGGAGGAGGCAGAGCCGGTCCGGTGTATTTGGGGGGCCCGGGCAAAATGATACGCGTAAAACCTACGTATGAAAAACCGCAAGTGTACAGTATCGCGTTTTGTAGAATAGTGAATTCCAGATATCGATCCACAGGGAATTAAGTTCCTAAATTTACCAAGTACCGTAATTATACTATCCTAAACTTTATCTAGACGATCAAGAATGGATGGGAGAAGTGAAACTAAAAGGAAACAATAAATAAAAACAACGGTCCGTCAGTATAAGCGAGGAATTCCGACGTGTGATGGCTTCTAGGGTAAAATCCACCAGTGTACTATCGATAAAGATCTACAAATCCGAATCTAATGTCAATTCTACGTTCGCTAACCGAGAAACAAAAATACCCTAACCCCCGTCTCTAGTGTAGCTAGAGTCTACCCATAGGTTCGACGTCTCCGTTCAGAACCTGATATTAAGAGAGCATTTAGGTCAAAACCTTAAGGGCTACCCGAGGTGCATCACGTCTCCGTTTCCACAACCCGAGCTATGTTTTCCTAAAATCAAACGAGAAATCCTCTCTCGAGTTCATTCCTATTTAGAATCAATTCAACTGTTGGCCGAACAATCGAAAGCATTTAATACAGGAAAACATAAACAGAATCAAAGAACGACATATAGATCACAGATTTGGAAACCAAAATCATTATATACAAGGTTTCATTTCCCTAGAAGAAAATGCTCAGTTCATTACAAACATAGCATCAAAATGAAGAACACGAGAAATTATAAACTAAACGTAAAGAAAAGCTTATGAAAAACCCGAGTCGAAACCCTCGTCGAAGCTTCCCGCGAAGAACTGGCGAGAACCGAAGAGAAAACTGAAGAAAAAGTCGAGAGATAGGTCGAGAGGTCGAAAAATGAATAAGAGACCTTCTATTTATAGTGAGAAATCAAAGAAAAATATCTAGTCTCGATTTCTGTGCCCATATCGCGATCTGGGCTTCTTGGATCGCGATCTGGCAGCCTCAAAAACTGCGCACCGCCATCCCAGATCGCGATCCAAGAAGTGCGGATCGCGATCTGCCCCAATTCTTCACTACTACTGGAATTTGCCACCAGATCGCGATCCGGTGGTTCTGGATCACGATCTGGCCTCTGCATCAACTTCAAATACTGTTTTCACCCTTTTTTATCTCAAATTTGACAACTGTGCATTCGCAAAAGTTGTAGATCTTGTAGTTATCTTTCTAAGGCCATTTGAATCAATTCAATCGGATGTCGCATGAGAAAGTTATGCTTGAAGTACCAAACACTGCCACAATCCGCGAGAATGCACTTTTGCACGTGTTGGTTTGGTTCTTGGCTTCGCTTCCAAAATCGTCTCGATTCGGCAAAAATAGCTTATCTTTACCTAAAATATAAAAAAAACAAAAAAAACATAATATATACAAATAAAGCCGAAAACTCGGACGAACGAAGACCAAAACTCGAAGAATTGATAAGTGAAAATCATGCAAAATGAACACTTATCACACCCTCAAACTTAGATCTTTACCCGTCCCGAGTAAAACAAAACAAAACAACAATATAAAAGAAAAAAAAAAACAACAAACTAAATCTAGGCCACTAACGTAGGGAATCACGATTGCATTTAGCGTATTCAACAAGCCTTTGAACCCCTGGGTACCCCCAAAGGACGAGTTGTGTCTCGTGAGGGTTTTCAGACAACACACCCACAAAGTTGCCGGATTGGTCAAAGCATTGCAATTAATTTCAAAGATAAAACGAGCTAGATAACCTAAAATCTCATAATGTCATACGGCTTCAGATATTCTACTTTCCCACCGATGCAATTAGTTGTTTCTACACCAAAATGAAAGATAGACTAAAGAATCCGTAATTAAACAATAAACACAATCATCGAGGGTTTTGAGTAGAAATGTGGACGAAAAGTAAGTTTTGATTATGAAATTCAAAAATTTGAATTGGGCATGAGTAGGTCAATTTATTCAATAGAAAAATGACGACAACAACAATTTCTTTGGTGATTTTCATCACAAATTTTCCTTTTTCCATTTTTTTGAAACGGGAATAATCCTGACTCGTGCAAGGCTCGATACCACTGTGTTATCTCTGTGACCCATGTATCGAACTTTAGTCCAAGAAACCCCCAAGCTTGACAACTCGAGAGACTTAGGCGACGAGGTGCACCCAACGGGTTAAGCTCGAGTCAGAAAGGCGGGGAAATCAGAGCGTGAATCACAACAATACAACAAATTATTATTTTTCTCCTTTTTTTTTTTTAACATTTATTTATCAACACAATAACATAAAATAAAAACGAAAAGACCATTGATAAAACTTTTAGCCAACAACTCGAATTGTGAACACATAATTCAATTCTAACTCGCCCCCCAAACCTCAGACTATTATACCCCTCAGAAAAATGCGCTCAAGCTTAATCGGGAAGGATTCGAAAGGCTATCCACACAAGTTGCAAAAACGCATTCGGAAGGTTCATCTATTCACTGCCGGTTATGCACAATTTCAATTTTAAAATCAACTAGCCAGTCTACTAATTCATTAATTGCTTTGCTTGAATAGAATCAGGAAATGCAACTTACACTCGATCCTAAATGAAATGCAAGTGAAAAACATAACAAAATTACGGAAATCGAAATACATAAATGAAACTAAATTATATGATATGCATGCAAAAGACCAAATCAAAATAAGCTAAACTCACCCCCAAACTTAAATCATGCATTGCCCTCAATGCGAAAAATAAAAGATATGAGAAAGAAATACGCCCTGAACAGTCGTGCCGCAGATTGATCAGTGTTCTACGGTTGTGAAAGTTTCTTTGATTGCACGGGGTGCCGTGAATTTTGGCACCGAGGGCGAATTGCCGGAGTTGTCTAGACTTCCCGACTTCTTACTCTTCTTTCCTTGGGAACGAGATACCGGAAAAAATCAAGAAAAAAGGGTGAAATTTAGATTTAAACCAAAAAATGCAAAAATAAAAGAGAACTAACAAAATAAATGAC